TAGAGAGCTAGAAACATCTACGAGAGAGAAACATCCATCAGCTGCCTCCTGCACACTCCCCACCGAGGATGTGCCCACAACCAAGGCACATGCCCCTGAGCGGAATCGAACCCGGGACCTTTCAGTCCGCAGGCCTACGCTCTATCCACTGGGCCAGACCGGTTAGGGCCCTCCCGGATTAATGTATTCATAAGAACAGGTGGGCGCTGTCACTTATCGATATAAGTGATTAACCTCTGTTTTTCTGAACTGAAACGGTTCCTTTGTCCAGTCTGATAACTCTGCGGGTTTTTAGGGTTCATCCTTGTCCAGCTTCCCTGGGGGAGGGGCGGAGAGGCAGGGAGCGCAGGGTCAGGCGCGGAGGTGCTGACACTGGTGGTGTGGCCTTCGGAGGGCACCTTTGACCTTGCCAGCCCTCAGGGCCCCTGGGTCGGATCGTCCTGAGATGGAACGGGCTGCCCTGGCGGCTGGCTCCTTGGAGAATCACCCTGGACCCCGAAAGGCTGCCCGTCAGACTCCTCCCGGGAGGCAAGTGTGACCCCCTCACTCTGTGCGGGAGGCAGCCGCTCAGGGTCACTGTCACACCAGCTTCTGTCTCTCTCCCCTTCCCTCCTGCGGTCTTTGCTGTGTTCAGTGCTTCACATGCATGAACTCACTCACCCCCCAGAGAAAAGCCCTCCGCACCGCACACACAGGCACACACAGGCACACACAGGCACAGAGGGCTGGGCTCGGAGCCGGAGGAGCCCAGGGCAGAGGGCTCGGCCCCGGAGCGGGCTCGGGGTGACGGTCACGGAAACGCAGGCAGACAGCGTGCAGGCGGGATTCCGTCTTGTGTGTGCATGAAGCTCAACCTCAAACGCACGCTCTCTATCGCAAAACACTGTGCCTGCCGAGGGGTATATAAAGCATGCATTTTCACAGCTTGGGCAGGAAGTGCATAAGATATGTCAGCGGAACCGCCAGCCTCCTGAAGACACAGGGTGGTGCCAGGGCGGGGGGTCTGCAGAGCACGTGCCCGCCTCGCCCTCCAGCCCCCTGGCTCCCCCGGGGGCAGTTTGACTTTTGAGAAGGAGTTACTAACTGAACTTTTTTGCGCTTCTTATGGGTCTAGGGGCCTCGTATACAGCACATACATCTTTGCTTTCTCGCTCCGGTCCCTCCACCCCCACGTGGAGGTGTGTGCTGGCCTGGCCTCCTCCTGAGAGAGCGGAGCCCGCCTGGGGGGTGGCCTCTGGCACTCGCCTGAGGCCCGGCTGGCTGGTGGTTCCCATGCCCTTTGGGTAAAGCGGGACAGTCCCGATTTTTTAACAATCTGTCCCGTATCCTGCGGTGTTTTCGGGACTTTTTTAAATACACCACGGGACGCGGGACAAATTGTTAAAAAGTGGGGCGTCTGGTCACCTTACCTTTGGGGACATTTTTCCCCGGGGCTTGTGGGGTGTTTCCGGGAAGGATGGGGAGCCTGGGGGAGGGGGGCGGCTGCTGTGAGGAATGCTCATGTTTGCCCGGGGCTTAGTGTGGGGACCACCCTTCACAGGCATTGTCTGGGCTAATCCTCACCCAGCCCCCTTCCCCCTGCCCCGCCCCAGCGGGGGAGCATTCCCCACCCCCCATTGTACAGAGGGCTGGGCAGAGCCAGGCACAAGCCCTGCCCCCACTGGCTCCCCAGGAGGTGGGGAGGGGCCGGACAGCTGGGGCCAGATCAGCCTGCCTCCAGGAGGTGTGAGGACTGGACTTTGGAGCGAGGACCAAGGGATCCCGCTGCCAAGGAGCAAACCTGGGCCTTCGGAGAGGGACATCTCCCAGGTGGGGCCCACGCAGGCTAGGCCCGTGGTCGGCAAACCGCGGCTCTCGAGCCACATGCGGCGCTCCGGCCTCTTGAGTGTTTAGCAAAGGCCAGCTGAGGAGCGCCCTAATTAAGTTAATAACAATGGACCTGCCTATATAGTTTAAGTTTAAAAAATGTGGCTCTCCAAAGAAATGTCAGTTGTCGTCCGGTTGACAGTTGGCTCTGCTGAGGAAGGAGTTTGCCGACCACGGGCGGGGCCACCAGGCAAGCAGGGGCCCTGTTCCTGCCCCTCGCCGGCTGGGGCGTGAACAGAGGAGGGACAGTGAGTCCTTGCAGGTCTGAGTCGCCGGGGCCCCGGGTGTGGCCAGCCGGTGCCCAGAGGCCCTGGGCCTGTGCCAGCCACGGCTCCCCAGGGCCCGAGACGCTGGCTGTGGCCCTCAGACCCGGCGAGTCCATCCCAGTGGCCTGGCGCCGCTGGCAGCACCGGGGTTTGTGTGGCTTCTTGTTTGATCGCCCGGCCTTGGCCTTTACGTGTTCGGGAATGCTGAGTCCTGGCAAGGTGACTTGGTGTCTTTGAAGGGACCTGATAAACAGTGCTTCTCCGTCTCCGCTGTGAACAAGTAAGACAGAGGGCGAGCAGATGGGGGTCTCCAATGCAATCTTTGTCACTGATAATGGCGCTCGGAGAACGCGCTGACAGGTGTCCGGTCCCAGAACCCGACCCCACCGCCCCGCACTGCCCATGGGGCTGCCTCCCGCCCCAGGCCCTGCCTCTGCCCCTGCCCCTGCCCCTGCCCCGGAGTTCACACCCCATGGCAGGCTGCCCCCCAGTAAAGAGGTGAGGGCTGGGGTAGGGGCTGGACTCTGGGCCCAGGTGTTCCATCCCAGGGGCCGGGGGGCTCAGCCGAGGTCAGGAGTGACATGGCCGGTGTAGCGCCCCCTGCCTGCAGGGAGAGGGACGGAGGCGCCCACTCATTCCCCCAGGTGCTGGGTACATGTGGGGGGTCTGTTCTTAGCCATTGGGGGGCTCCTCTGCCAGCACAGGGTGGCCCTGAGGGGCGGGTGGCTGGCAGGACAGTCTTGCTCCCAAGCTCCTGAGCTCCTAGGAGATGGGGAGCCCTGCAGAGCCTGCAGCCTCAGGGCCTGCAGGACAAGGGCGGCGGGGGAGGCGGGAGGGCAGAGGAGCGATGAGGAGAGGGCACAGTCCTCGTGGCCACGGCAGGGCCCAGCCCGCAGGGCAGAGCCTCCCGGCACCGGGAGAGCCAGCAGCTGTGGCTGAGAGCGTGGCCCTGTGGTCTGAGTGATAGAGGCCGCGGGAAACAGAGCCGGACCAGGGGCATGTGGAGGATGGAAACCCACAGGGTGCTGGAGCCATCGTGACCACGCCCTTCCTGTGCCTCTTCGCATCAGCTACAAAAGAAAGACACGGCTTGTGGGCTGTGGCTCCGTCTCACTGAGACCCAGCTTGTCGGGGTGCGGGGCCCAGTGCAGGTGACGGGCAGCTGGCCAGAGCTCACTCTCCAGATGGAAGTCTGAAAAGAAACACAGTTGTGTTTGTTTATTTATTTATGTATGTGTATGTGTATGTGTATGTGTATGTGTATGTGTATGTGTATACATATATGTATGTGTATATATATGTGTGTATATATGTATATATACACACTCATACATATATGTATGTATATGTGTATATATATGTGTGTGTGTGAGTGTATATATATATATATTTAAATTATTTTTACTTCAGAGAGGAAGGGAGATTGAGAGAGAAGCATCAGTGATGAGAATCATTGATCGGCTGCCTCCTGCATGCAATCGGTGTTCAGCCCACAACCCGGGCCTGTGCCTGTGCCCTGACCTGGAATTGAACATGACCTCCTGGTTCAAACATGACCTCCTGGTTCATGGGGTCAACACTCAGCGCTGCTGTATCCCTCCCCTTGAAGCGCGCGTGCACACACACACACACACACAGACACACACTTTGGGCAGGTTGCTTTTCCTCGGTATAACATACACTGTATCCCGCCGTGAATGTGCCTATCGCCACTTCGTTCTTTATCGGAGTAAATAGTGACACACACGTACCTGGTCAGAGTGTGAGGGTGAGAAGCCGTGTGCTTGGGTGTGTACACTTCTCCTGAAAAGTGAGGTTAGCCGTGCTGGTGAGGGGGATGGTGGAGTGGGGGATGGTGGAGTGGGGGATGGTGGAGTGGGGGATGGTGGAGTGGGGGATGCTGGTGAGGGGGATGCTGGAGTGGGGGATGCTGGAGTGGGGGATGCTGGAGTGGGGGATGGTGGAGTGGGGGATGCTGGAGTGGGGGATGGTGGAGTGGGGGATGCTGGAGTGGGGGATGCTGGTGAGGGGGATGGTGGAGTGGGGGATGCTGGTGAGGGGGATGCTGGAGTGGGGGATGCTGGTGAGGGGGATGCTGGAGTGGGGGATGCTGGAGTGGGGGATGCTGGTGAGGGGGGTGCTGGAATGGGGGATGGTGGAGTGGGGGATGGTGGAGTGGGGGATGCTGGAGTGGGGGATGGTGGAGTGGGGGTGCTGGAGTGGGGGGTGCTGGTGAGGGGGGTGCTGGAGTGGGGCCCCACGCTGCTGGTTGTCCTCCGCTCAGGTCCCTGCTGGTCCCGTAGCCCCAGGAGCAGGTCCTGGGAGGAGAGGCGGGATGTGTGTGTTTCCATGTTACTGGGAAAGGGGGTGGGGCTGGTTTCGTCCACGCTGGTTATCGAGAAGCCTGCACACCCTGGGGTGACCGTCGGGGGTTTGGGGTGCAGCGTGGACAGCTGACACGCTCTCTGTGTTGGGGGACGAGGGGACGGGGTTTGGGGTGCAGCGCGGACAGCTGACACACCCTCTCTGTGTTGGGGGACGAGGGGACGGGGTTGGGGTGCAGCGCGGACACTGACATGCTCTCTGTGTTGGGGGACGAGGGGACGGGGTTGGGGTGCAGCGCGGACACTGACACACCCTCTCTGTGTTGGGGGACGAGGGGACGGGGTTGGGGTGCAGCGCGGACACTGACATGCTCTCTGTGTTGGGGGACGAGGGGACAGGGGGATTGGGGTGCAGCGCGGACACTGACACGCTCTCTGTGTTGGGGGACGAGGGGACGGGGTTGGGGTGCAGCGCGGACAGCTGACACGCTCTCTGTGTTGGGGGACGAGGGGACGGGGTTTGGGGTGCAGCGCGGACACTGACATGCGCTCTGTGTTGGGGGACGAGGGGACGGGGTTGGGGTGCAGCGCGGACACTGACACGCGCTCTGTGTTGGGGGACGAGGGGACGGGGGGATTGGGGTGCAGCGCGGACAGCTGACACACCCTCTGTGTGTTGGGGGACGAGGGGACGGGGTTGGGGTGCAGCGCGGACACTGACACGCTCTCTGTGTTGGGGGACGAGGGGACGGGGTTGGGGTGCAGCGCGGACACTGACACGCTCTCTGTGTTGGGGGACGAGGGGACGGGGTTGGGGTGCAGCGCGGACACTGACACGCCCTCTCTGTGTTGGGGGACGAGGGGACGGGGTTGGGGTGCAGTGCGGACACTGACACGCTCTCTGTGTTGGGGGACGAGGGGACGGGGTTGGGGTGCAGCGCGGACACTGACACGCCCTCTCTGTGTTGGGGGACGAGGGGACGGGGTTGGGGTGCAGCGCGGACACTGACACACCCTCTCTGTGTTGGGGGACGAGGGGACGGGGTTGGGGTGCAGCGCGGACACTGACACGCGCTCTGTGTTGGGGGACGAGGGGACGGGGGGATTGGGGTGCAGCGCGGACACTGACACACCCTCTGTGTGTTGGGGGACGAGGGGACGGGGTTGGGGTGCAGCGCGGACACTGACACGCTCTCTGTGTTGGGGGACGAGGGGACGGGGTTGGGGTGCAGCGCGGACACTGACACACCCTCTCTGTGTGGGGGGACGAGGGGACGGGGTTGGGTGCAGCGCGGACACTGACACGCTCTCTGTGTTGGGGGACGAGGGGACGGGGTTGGGGTGCAGCGCAGACACTGACACACCCTCTCTGTGTTGGGGGACGAGGGGACGGGGTTGGGGTGCAGCGCGGACAGCTGACACACCCTCTCTGTGTTGGGGGACGAGGGGACGGGGTTGGGGTGCAGCGCGGACACTGACACGCTCTCTCTGTGTTGGGGGACGAGGGGACGGGGTTGGGGTGCAGCGCGGACACTGACACGCTCTCTCTGTGTTGGGGGACGAGGGAACGGGGTTGGGGTGCAGCGCGGACACTGACACGCTCTCTCTGTGTTGGGGGACGAGGGGACGGGGTTGGGGTGCAGCGCGGACACTGACACGCTCCCTCTGTGTTGGGGGACGAGGGGTCGGGGTTGGGGTGCAGCGCGGACACTGACACGCTCTCTGTGTTGGGGGACGAGGGGACGGGGGGATTGGGGTGCAGCGCGGACACTGACACGCGCTCTGTGTTGGGGGACGAGGGGACGGGGTATTGGGGTGCAGCGCGGACACTGACACGCTCTCTGTGTTGGGGGATGAGGGGACAGGGGGATTGGGGTGCAGCGCGGACAGCTGACACACCCTCTCTGTGTTGGGGGACGAGGGGACGGGGTTGGGGTGCAGCGCGGACACTGACACGCGCTCTGTGTTGGGGGACGAGGGGACGGGGTTGGGGTGCAGCGCGGACACTGACACGCGCTCTGTGTTGGGGGACGAGGGGACGGGGTTGGGGTGCAGCGCGGACACTGACACGCTCTCTGTGTTGCAGGCTGCCACAGGAGCTGCTGGGGAGGCCGCCACCTGCAAGACGGGCTTCCCCGAGGCCGCGTACAGCGCCGTGCTGGCCCCGGACCTGCATGAAGGACAGCCTCTGCTCAACGGTAACCCCCTCCCCGTCCACAGGGTCCCCCCGAGACCCACAGCCGCCTTCAGCTCTGCTAGCGGGCGGGCACTTCCCCATCACCCAGGACAGTGGTCGGCAAACCGCGGCTCGCGAGCCACATGCGGCTCCCCTTGAGTGTGGCTCTTCCACAGAATACCACGGGCTGGGCGGGTCTATGTTGAAGAAGTGGTGTTAGAAGAAGTTTAAGTTAAAAAATGTGGCTCTCCAAAGAGATTTCAATCACTGTACTGTGGGTGTTAGGCTCTGTGGACTATGAGTTTGCCGACCGCTGGCCCAGGACCGGGTGGGGACCTCGTGTGCAGTCAGAGGAGCACTCCCGGGCCCTCATGGGGTGCTGGAAGGCTCTTGGTCTTTTCCGTGTCATTTTTGTGTTTTCTGCACGTATTTTACTTATTTTGAAGAAGAATGCTTAACCATCTGATTCTAAATGGTTTTTAACGTTATTTACAGCTACAATCCACTTACCATTTTGAATTAAAGAAATTGCTGAGATGCTCTCTTTTGGTAAAAGATGCGGAACTTGACTGTTTAGCTCGGTTATGACGACCGGCGCCAGCAGGTCGTGTCCGAGGCGGAGGCGTGGAAGGCGTGCTTTGGCCATGACGCTGTTTGTAGACGCCACTGCTGGTTGCAGGTGTGAGTGTCAAATACAGACTCCTCTCCTGCTTACACGTGGGTCAAGTTCATGCACAGTCGTCGTAGGAAAACGCGTGCCATGTGGATAAAACCTGGAAGAAAACGTGAGCGTCCAAAGCAAAACTGACCCCCCTCCCCCTTCACCTCTCATTGGAATCAGATAAAAGATTGGTTGGTTGAATTTCCATGGGCTTACTTATCCCTGCACAAAACATCACTGAAATGGGAAGGCCAGAAGAACTGATTAGTCAGTTGTGTTTAACTTCTAATTCCCCACACAACGGTGGGGGAATTTGCCTCTCTCTGAGGCTGTTGTGGAGAGCTGGTTTCAGAGAAATCTGTGCAGCCTCAGCTAATGAGTCTGCACAGGACTCACTCTGCCACAGCCCCGGGGAGGTGTCTCAGCCTGAGGAACGGGAGTGGGGCAGGACTTAAGAATGCCAGGACAGGGAACTAGGACATGTTAAGGGCCTCTTAGCTGCTCACACTCTAATTGTGTTTTGCTCACACCTGTGTGATCTTTCTGAAGCTGATTTTTTTTTTTTTTTAAGACATCTTCTCATCCCTGCCTCATTACATGGCATTTTAATGAGTAAATATTAGATCAGCCTGTTTCAATATTGAATCGCGATCTCCTCTGATGGGTAATGGTTAACAAGACAGAGGCTTCATTCCCGTCAAAGCGAGTAGCCTTGGCCGAGCTGAATGCGAGTGCTGGAGCTTTTCTGCACATGCGTCATTTCCTTTAAATCCCTAAAACTATTGGGTGGCATCCGAGGACGCATGGGGCCTGCAAATATTGCTTGAATACTGAAAAAATATAATTGATTCGGTTTTATAGAATCAGTCCGGTGGATAAAAAAATGTCAGTGGAAGGGGTTGTCTTTTGGTGATTTACTTTTTTAGATTCATTTTTAAGTGAGTAATTCCTCCTCCTCTCTTTCCTAAGAGCTTGAATTTATGGGTTGCAGATATACACAGGGTCTGTGGGGAGATGGAACGCCCTGGCCTGTTACACAGGCTCGGAGACGAAGGCCTGTTCTCTAATTGTCCGGTAATGCTGGTGACGGCAGAGCTCGGGGTAGCTGCCTGCCAGTGACTTTTCTGCGTAATCTGCGCCCTGGGAATTTTCCTTGAGTTCCAGATGCGGCAGATTGGGAATGCTTTGGACTCTGTGCAGTGGCTGTCACCAAGAGAAGGGGGTGTGGTCGTCTCTGGTAGAATTTTTTAAAATCCCGGGGTCCTGTTCTTACCATTTTTATTTATTTATTTATTTATTTATTTATTTATTTATTTATTTTTTTAGCTTTAAAAAAAAAAAAAAACTTTCATGACACATTATTAATTTTCTTTCTGTTTCATTCATGGAATATGTTAAAGGATACCAGCATGTCAAAGCTTAAAACATAAACTTCAAAATATTGATCCGTAGGAAAATTCCTTTCAGGAGGAAGAAGACAGACTTCTGCTCCTTTTTACCAGAGGGTTGTCACTGGCTGAGTTTATTCCGGAGAATCGTTCCTTAGAGGAATCCTAGGTTTTTGCCATTTGTGTCTCAGAGCTGATTTTCAGTGGGATGGTCACCCAGAGGTGCCTCTTACCCTGGACCCAAGTTCCAGGCCATGATTCTGTGCGTGGATTTGTGGCCTCAGAAGCCCACTTACCTTACACCCTGAGGCTGCAAGGGGTCTCTGCTCGGCCAGCCAGAGGGAGCGCTTCGCCATGGTGTGGGGACCCACAGAGTTTGAGGGGAGAGGTCCTCAGACACAGGCCGCAGTCCCCCAGGCATCTGCCTCCTGGCAAGCCCTACCCTATGAAGGTCGACTTGAGAGTCAAGAGTTACATTGCGTTATAACCTATAACTGTTTTTGAAGTTGTAACCTATAGCTACTGTTGAAGTTATAACCTATAGTTGTTGCTGAAGCTATAACCTATAGCTATTGTTGAGTTATAACCTATAGCTATTGTTGAGTTATAACCTATAGCTGTTGTTAAGTTATAACCTATAGCTGTTGTTAAGTTATAACCTATAGCTGTTGTTAAGTTATAACCTATAGCTGTTGTTGAGTTATAACCTATAGCTGTTTTGAAGTTGTAACCTATAGCTGTTGTTGAAGCTATAACCTATAAATGTGGACTTTCCCTTTAATTCCCCATTGGTGACACTGCGGGGAGGAGGGTGGTCCAGCGATACGGATGGTGTGCTTTCATAGGGCCTTTCCCCGGCGCACTGGACCTTGTAGGGCAGTGTGACATTTCGGTCCATAGATGCCAGGGATGCGGGCTGTTCTACAGACAGTTCAGTAACAACCTTGGAGAAGGTGCCTGAACACCGCTCAGCTTTAGATGGAGACATAGGGGTGTCCGTTGTGTTAGAAAAGCCGTAGAGAAGAGATGTCAAAGCCCGGCTCCAGCCTCCCAAGGCCTCCTGAAGCCGCGGTCGCCAGCCTTTCGGCCCTCACTGGCCACCGGCGGTCTGGGACCTCAGGCTGGCCACCGCCGGCTTAGGTGCACCCCTTTTCCCTGCCCTGCCCCGTGTCATGTTTTGCGGTAGGAATGACTTTGAGGACAGGCTGGACCCAGTGACCAGCTCTGACCCTCCATGTGCCCTGCCGGCTGCCTCAGCATCTTCTCTGTAAAAGCCCGAGGAGGGGAGGGCACGTGGCCACGAACCTTTCCGCCTCCTGCTCTGTCCTGTGGGCTGTGCCCACCCTCTGGAACCCGCTCAGCATGTAGACGTGGGCTGTGGTGTCCTGTGTTCCGTGTGGTCAGCACCCCCAGGCCCCGCGTCACTGCAGGTTGCGTGTGGCGCCCTCTCTTGCTTTCATGCCGCTGTGCAGCCTCCTTGGTGTAGGGGCTTTGCTTTTTCTGGAGGGGTGTTTTCCTGGGGGGTTTGAGTTCCAGAGCAGAATTCCCGGGCCAACAAGCATGCAGTCTGGCGGTGTTTTCCTTGGCTTTTTTTGTCCGCCTCCTCTTACTAGGGCTGAAGCATGTTCATTCTTCTCTAATCCTTGTCTCCATTTCACTTTATAGCCCTTTTCATTTTCCCGGTTCCCCTCAGGTGAAAAGCATTCCCTTTTCATCCGGTGGTATTTTCCTGTGTTTACCTGTGTAAGTGAGGCTCATTTGTAAGCACTTACCGCCAAGCCCGCATTTCCCCATAAGCCCATTGTAGCTCAGAGAGAGGGTAGGCTTTTCAGCTCTTTGGATCGTCAGCTGCAGAGCTGGACTTAGGACCCAGGTGTCCTGCTTTCTGATTATTTCTGGCGAGAGGCCCGATGCACTAAGATTCGTGCAAGAATGGGCCTGCCTTCCCCTGACTGCCAGCACCGCCTTCACTCTGGCCAGAGCCCCCTCTCTGCTCTGCCTGGAGCCACCTTTCTGCCTTCCCATGCTGCCCAGAGGCCCTGAGTGGCTAGGGTGGTGCCCCTGGGTGCTTGTGCCTGTGTATGCAAATTAACCTGCCATCTTTATTGGGTTAATTTGCATACACACTCCTGTTTGGCTGATGGACGTCACAAAGGTACAGCCAATTAGCATATAACTCTTTTATTAGGGTAGATCAGTGGTCAGCCAACTGCAGCTCACAAGCCACATGCGGCTCTTTGGCCCCTTGAGTGTGGCTCTTCCACAAAATACCCTGGCCTGGGCAAGTCTATGTTGAAGTGGCGTTAGAAGAAGTTAAAAAATTGTAGCTCTCCAAAGAAATTTCATTCGTTGTACTGCTGATATCTGGCTCTGTGGGCTAATGAGTTTGCCCACCACGGGTGCCAATGATGGTGATGATGAAAACCCACTGTGGTAGAGGCAGGGAAGAGGGGGCCCATGGATGCTAGCTTAGCGGGTGTCTTGGACAAGTTCATCTCAGAGCGGATCCGCCTCCTTTTCCGCTCACACCCTGCCCGTGTGTTACTGGACACGTTGGAGAACCGGTGGCTGCCAGGCGCACCCCCATCGTGAAAACGCCTCTCCCTTACGGTCGCCATTAGTACTTTGTGCCTTCCTGTTTACAAGCAGAACGTGGAGGGCTGTGCAGAAGCACATTTAGCCCTCGATGGCTTAACTTCCAGCCCACCGAGCTGGAAAAATCTCTAGTGGTGGCACTTTAGTTGAAAATAAAACACCTGCAATCATATGTTTCCATCCTGTGGCCGGCGGGGCACCTGGCGCTGGAGGGACTGCACCCCGGGAGGTGGGGGGGGACAGCGGGGACTCCCGGCACCTGCAGCGTGTTGTTCCCGGCTCTGCCTGGGTCCTGCGCTCAGATGGCTCCTGGCACACGCGCCAACGCGGGCGCACGCAAATAGCAACGTGCAATTACCACGAATTTCTCAGTAACCA